TCCCATTTCTACACACAATAAGTATTTAGAAAAAATAAGCCTGCCATTACTACTAAGCTAATGAGTTTTTTTTAGCTTATTATTTATTTTTAAGCAATTTTTCTGAGCAGTTTACTTGCCAGCTGTTGTACTATAAATCACAGTTACTGAATCTAGTAGATGTGCACATATGCATTGGGCTGTCTAAACATAACAATTTCTTGTCAGTCATTGTAAGTCATTATAATACCGTCCTTGACTCATTTGACATTCAAGAAATAAACTTATGACCACTGGAAGACATAAAAAAGACATATAGAATAATCACAAATTATTCTCTTTGCTGTCAGCAGTAGTAACTTAGTAACACTACATTTGTTTTGTGTTCTAAGGTACTTAAGCATACATACTTGTAAATGCAGTAAATGTTCAAATTGGGATGATGGAGTACCACAAGGATCTGTATTAGGATCACTGTTCTTCTTCATTTATATCAGTGATCTAAATTCCATTCCAGAGAAGAGAGACCAGACGTGTTCAAGGCCTTAAAAAAGTGTACTTCGCTGATGGGCTGAAAGATCTGAATCTTTTTAGTCTAATTAGAGAAAAACATGAAGAAACCCAATACAAGAATTCAAAATCCACCAGAGCATTGATAAAATAGAGTGGGCTTCTTCAAAGTGGAAACTACTTGGAAGTGCATTTAAAACCTCTAATAGGATGTTATCAGTGTTATAATAGTGTTGTAGGAGTATATAACAAGCTACCCAAGCTGCCATTTAGTTGAAGCCGATACTACATAATGGCCAGACGGACTGAGTGCCCCCCTTTTGTTTGTAACCTTTCTTATATATGTCTTTATTTTATGCTCATAGTGTATTACAGGTTACAGAACTTTTCTTAATACAGTTATTTTAATTCCATTCCTTGGTTGATTTTTGATTTAACTGAGGAACTTCATTAATCCTGGTTTTAGAGAAGTTGGTATTGATTTCATGGTGGCTAGACAATTAATGTTGAAAAACCTTCAGAAGAGCATGATTGATGTGATAAAGAACATTACAGTCAAATCCTGCGCTTGTGTTTTAAGATTCAAGGAATATAATTTGAGATCTGGCATATGTTTGGTATGCAGCCAAAGTAGAAAAATCGTTGTGTGAAAGTTCAGTGTTTCATTTTACAAATAAATACTGCAAGACAAAATGATGAAGCTTATTTTTCAGTTTAGAGAAGGGATTGATATATTCACAGCTGATTGTGGCTGTTATAGTTTATGATAGGACTAAAACAAGATGATTTACTGTATAACACCTCCAGCTTTTTACATCAAATAAGTACCATGATCATGGCAATTACTGTGCTTAAATAATTTTAGACAAGAACAAGTCTATCCTTAGCTTTGCTCTCTTTAAATTAAGCCCTGTCATATATACTTAACTTCAAAACAACATTTAGGTCATCAAGTTGTTTTATTTTTCATATTATATGCACATATTATTTCCCCCCTGGCAAATAAAAAAGCCAGGTAACTCTTATAAAATAATTTGCTCTTTTTTTGGGTGAAAAGGGGTTTTGATAACAAGTGAAGCTGACACTAGCTTCTGGTCTGCAGCTTCTCAAACTAAGGAGCCTGCAAGTAAATGTGGGGATGTGCAGCTACTGTGAAAAACAATGACATTTTCTGCTTCACAGGGACTAAAGGACAAAGTCAGGGAGAGGCAGGCCTGGCTCCCTGTTTATTCTGTTAGGTTTGCAGACTGGCATCAAGGGGTTGAGGCACAAAGGGAAAAAAAATGGCATGGATCCATTTTTACAGTTAAGTACCCTTTAGGCAAAGAATTACCTCAATTCTTTTTTTCTTCGTTTGACATATTGGTTGCAGTTGGTCCTGTGTACGGTAAATTTAGTTTTGGCAACTTTTCCTTGCCCTTAATGGTCACCTAATGTGCCCTCCACTGGCATCTCAGCTGGACCCTCGCAACACCAGCAACCTTCAGCTGGCACATGGGGCAGCATTTATACAGCCCATTTGCGAAGCTGAAACACACAGATCGTAGATCTATAGACTTGACAGAAAATGTGATAATTGCCTCCATTTCAGCAGTAGGTGATTTATATCCAGTGAAGGGAAGAAAAGGCCTAATCCTTATGCTTTAGTGTTTGGATTGGAAGCAATACAGAGGCAAATATAGCAGGAGAATGCCATTTTCCACACTTGAAATCCTTCCCATCTCTCTGACCTCTTTGTTGATGCTATTCAATAATAAACCCCTTTGTGGAGCCAAACCAACTGGTACTTTATAATGATTTGAATTTGTGCTTAACGGTCAATGAAAGGACTGTCATTTTCGGTTTCAGGCTTTCATTCTTTTTTACTCGTTCTTTCATAAAAGGTATTCAGGGAATAAAGAAAGCTGTGGTAATAGCAGCCACAATAATCATTTTCATTTATACTGCTCTTCTAGGTTTTACATTTTGATGGCGTCTGGTGCTGTATTTGTACAAGTGCTGAAGTATGGTATTCAAAGTGGTTCCAGGCTAGGCTCAGCTGTTTCTTTTTGGCCACTCCAATACTCTTTAATATTGGAGGATCGGCTTTCTAATTCTATTTACAAAGCCTTCTTTGCAATACACGCAGCCCAAGTGGCTTGTCCGTTTTATGCTATACATGAATAGGATTTCCCTCATATGTCAAGTACTGTGTTCCATTGTCCACCCATCGGTGGTGATGGACTTGTACAAACGAGCAGCATTTAGAATTATGCTCTCTCATACAAAGACACTGCCTGCAGTCTTTAGTCCATTTTGTTTTTGCAGATATCCTTGTGACACAGAAAAGATAATTAGATATGAAACAAAAATAACGAGAGGGAAAGATATCAGAAGATGAGCAACTATTTATATTAATAGGGACAACAACTAAACCCCCACGGTCCAAAGTTCAATATGGTAACTAGTCTATAGGCTCATGTCAGTGGCTATTGCTCTGTTCCAAAAATGCCAATAGTCACTGCTGCTCACATTTTGCACTGCAAAAATCCACCTTACGATGTTGCAAGATTTTCAATTAGTGTGTGTTCCTTTTTTATTAGATAAGCTGTAGCACATTTTCCTTGAACCTTCCTTGAAAAATAGCCATGCACTTACTGCATATACAGTACAAAGAAAACCTACAACTGTCTGCATCAAACGTGATGTCTTAAAAAAAAGCGTATTGCTTCTGGACTGTTTAAGGGGCAGTCTGTAAAAAAGATGTATGTTTAGAAAGAGTCATGTATAAATGTAGGGAATGAAACAAGGGCTGTTGTTTTTAAAAATGTGTTTTTTCAAATGATATTTCTAACCCCTCTCCTTTAAATTCTGTTCATAAAACTGTATTTGGAATAAAAAGGCATCTCTAAAGCATATGTGCCTCAGAGCAGAATGCATCAGGATACCAGAATGATAATAATACCAATAGGTAATGCATTGCTTTTGTGATCTGAGTGACCCTGACACTTTTGCCTGCAGAGTTTGGCCACATAATGTTTCTGAGAAAAGGAAGCTTATTCCTGCACTGTATCTCGTGTGCTGCATTCTTTTGCTCTTGCATTGATTTTCCAGGGTTCTGTAAATATCAAGGCAGTTCATATTTTATGACTTGTCCAATGCTTAATTACAGGCCACAATTAGTACTGTATGTGTTCAGCTTTAATCTCCAACCTCTTAAAGAATGTAGGGTAGATGTATTAAAAGAAACAAGCTGTAGATATTGCAGTGTATTTCTCAGTGTACTACATTATCTTGATGACTGGGCTGTTATTTTTGCTGTTTTTAATAAGGACTTTTTAATAAGGACAGCAAGAACACAACAAATAAGGTATTGAAAATGGTAGTTCATGCCCTTTTTTTGTTTCATACCTTTAATTTTGATTATAGGCATGTACTATTATTACCATGCTGTACAAACGTTCATTTTAAATAGCAAAATAAGAAATGCAATATTTTGGTGTGCTGTAATATCATTGTTGTTAGATTCTATTGTATAGAAAAAGTTGTCATGTTATGATTTTTTTAAAGATGATTTACGGTACATGCAGTGTCATTTCGAATCTGAATTTGTTCTCCTGTGCAGTTTTCCAGGGTGTTGTCTCACTTCTAACCCTATGTTTTAGGGAAAGATTCTGGATTGGTGTGACCTTTCTCAGGAATAAATGGCTTTCTGATTATGGATTTGTCATTAAGTTAAAAGTAAAGTTGGGATTAAATATCTTCAGCTTGACTGACTGCGCACTTTGCTATGTGGTATATGTATATTAGTAATGCAAATGTTCACCGTAAGTGTTTTGGACACATTCCAGTAACTGCTGTTTAAATGAGGTAACCTATTTCCTTTTTCTTTTGACAACAGTGCTAAAGAACAAATCATTAGGTTCCCAAAATGATTAAAAAGAGCAGAACATCTGTTTTGACACAGCTCTTGAATTCCCGTTCTGTTCATGCAATGCTTCAACACAGTGGAAATCCAGAGATGCTGATACTCCCAGGTGGCTTGAAACAGCTGGCTCGCACCGGGCCACTTTCAGTTGCCCAAAGCAGCATTTGTGAATTCTCCTTTCCGGATGAAATTGCTTCAGCTAATTAATCATACATCTACTGTATATACTGAACATACATTGCGTTTGACATCTTACATTATTTAGATGTTTCTGAGTATTTGTTAGTCTTTTTAAGTTGAGGCCTGCAGAAGTTCGTAAGCTAATGTACAGTACAAATCACACAGCGTACGGTCTCCAGTCATTACCGATTTTTTGTATTTAAAAGTGTACACATATACTTGGTTTATCATAAGAAACTTAAATGCGTTATTTCATCACTTGGCGTTCTGGTGGATGGTTTCTGATGTTGCAATGTGTAATGCATTCCCATTGTAATGTTACGTCATGTTTATTTCTGTGCTTGAAAGTCTGAGCAATGCAAACTGACAGTAGGTGGTGGACAAAACCTTAAGCTAATGATAGTTCTTCATCTTACTTTTGCAGGAGTGCATGGACTCCAATAAGTGTATAGAGGAACTGCTAAAACAGTTGGAAGAGGAACGCAGGAATGTGCGAAGGCAAGTGACACTTTCCTTTTTCTGGACCCCTGGGAATTAGATGTGGACTGTGCTAAGGTCATGTTCCTGTGGCAGAGCTACAGAATGATTTTGAGTATTGGGAGGATGATGGAATGAAGTTAACTGCAGTGGTTCTGTGACTTTACCATAGCTGTAACTGAACATTCTTTGCAACCCCAGTACCATTAAAGTAACTTTTAATGTTCTTTTTTATGGGTGTTTTTTATAGTTTGCATGACTCTACTTTGTTTTTACGACTTTTCATCAAAGTACCTGATTTGTTTCACTTGACTTTGCAAGAAAACAGACCTCCAGAAAGAAAGGTAACTAAATAGGCAAGAAAAAAATCTAACTAGACTAATTTTATTTCTCTCAATAGGGTGTTGGTTTTTACTGGGGTATGGATTATATGTGCCATATTTAACACTGGTAGCTACTTAGGAGAAGCCTGAGGCATAATCTGACGATTCACCTTTTTTGTGAGAGCTAAACCAATACAACTGATTTATTGATATGTTTGCTTTCTGCATATGTTTTTTTACATTGCCTCATCTAAGGTAGCACTAGTCTTCATCACATACTATGTATTTATCACTCCTCAGTACAGCACAAAGTGAGGGAAAAAGCAGAGACCACAATGCATGTGTCTTAAAATCTGGAGGGGCATTCTGGTTTAAGATTTCTGAGAACTCGTTACTCATTATGGTGATGAGTCTATGACAGATAAAACAATCTGGAATAGAAACTAAAGGTCTGAACTTCTTTTCGTTGTTACATTCAACTTTACTTTTCAATAGCCTCCCTAGTTTCCATCCACCATTGATTTTCCCCTCCACTAAGCAGTGGGGCCAAGAGGCTGTGGTGTCAGGGCCTCTAGGAATGACAGGAGACCTTGCAAATCCAAGCTCCTAATCAGTATGGAGCTGGGAAGTGGTTTGTAAGGGACAGATTGTTATTCTTTTCCCTTCTCTTCCCACTAATGAAAGCCCCTCCCCTCCTCACACAGAGGTTGACCCTGAAACTCTGCCGGATTGCCTTGCTATCACCACAATGACGAGTCTGGGGTGGCTCACTGTCTCTCTCCCTCACAGGCTCATACACTTTCTAAACCAGTGGACCCATTTTCTTTGAGGAGACTTGAATGCAGGTGGACTCTGAAATGGGTGAAGAAAAATATTGAAACATTCTTCTTTCAGTTTGCTTTGACTACAGTACTATATGTACAGTATGTGTTTTTTTTTGTGTTCTGAAAAGATGGTGAATCGTGTATTTGTGCTTTTGTATAATGTGTAATTGTGTACATTACTTAGTGGTTTGCTGTTCTTGGAAACAGTGAAATTTAAGACTCACACTTTTTATTAGCCTGGATTGTGGGTTTCTGTGTGATATTAGTTTGGAATGACAAGTGAAATTCCAGATACATACAGCACACATACTCCTAAGAAAAGCTTTTCTGTCAGAGAGTAATAACAGAAAATAAGGTAAAAAATCTCCTTCACTGGGTTTTGTTTTCAGACACTAGATGCCCTTTTCCTAAAAGCAACACTGCATGTGTAGACCTGGAATTAAATAGTAGGACTGGATTGACAAAGTATCCAAGAAATGAATGGGTACAGGAACATTGTGAGAATGCTTGTTGAAGAAAAGGCTCACTCTTCAAAAAAACAGCAGCCGTATTTCATTTTTACAGTGTTAAATAATACAATGTCACCAGCACAATTGGGTCATGGTTTATGGCAGTGCTCAGCTTAAAGCTCAAGAGTACCTTGTGAATAAAAGAGCTGTTCTCTACAAGGGCATAAAAACCTTCATTTAAAGTGGATGAGCTGTGTTCTGCTCATATACAATACCTGATTATTGCTCTTGCATATTGCAGGAATAGAGTGACATTATCTATCAATTTTAGTTTTCATTTTATTTGGAAAACACACAAAGGAGCAGATTATAATGGCACCGAGCTCTATGGATGTCTAGGATAATTCCCAACATATAAGGGTGTCTGTAGTGAGACAGATGTCCTTATAAATCAGCGGTGGACTTTATTATGGTAGTGATTTGTGACCACCATCAGTTTAACCCACTGGGTCATTGGATACTGAACCTGACAAAGACAAACTGCCCTTGGTTTACTTTTGTCTAGCTCATAAAATCCCCACAGGCACATAGTATGAAGATTTCCTCCACCCACTGAACAATGTTTAAAGGTCTTCTAATAAGGTTACATTTCCAGATCTTCCTCATGGAGAACGAAGCAAAACTCTCATAAATAGAACCACTTAATCAGGTTTTTAAAAACTGATTTGTTTTTTCCGAGTTTAGTCTTACTGATGTCCTGTGACACTCAGTTATTCTATATACAGCATATAAAGTACTGCGTACAGACTAGTTCTATCATCTGTGATTTCTGCTGCAGCTTTGCAGTGAGAATATTTTGAGATGGGTGCTGCTATTTTTAGAGACACCAGTACTTTCATTTTACTATGTTTTTCATTTTTGTTTTTATCGTGCTGTTCTTCCCCTTTTGACAGCTCAGTAGGAAATCAGTCAAACGATTCAAAATGATCTTGACCTAAAGGGCTTCAAAACCATTGAAGATTAAAAAATAGGACAGTTAATATATTAAAATCCCTGCCTGAATGATATGATTTTGTCTGCTATAGACATTGACATAATCCCAGTCAGAGGTAATGGGGCTGGATGTAACTGTAAGAATATTGCCATTTGAGTGATTTTTGGGCTTGGTGACTCACTAAATACCAGAAGTAATAATAATAATTCCATATTTCAATACAAATGGAAAATAGAGGCTTATTAAAAACATGGTTTGAAACTAGTTCGGTTTATTTGTCATGTGCACAAGTGCAATGAAATTATGTCAGTGTACTGATTATAGGTAGATTTCAGGTATTTGCTTTTAATTGTTTTTAAGAACAGAAATTTATAACAAAGAATCCCACTTGAATAAAGGATCGTTTTAATGTACTGTAGATGATTTTCCTTTGATGTACTGTAGGACAGGGACAGCTCTCTGTCAGTATATACACCTACTGTATACTGTATGAAGCCAAAGTGCCAAAGTGACTGTATGAAGTGACTGGGAGACAAATACTCCAATCATCTTACATAATATTCATGAGCGAAAGTAAGCGCCAATCAACTAAAACATATCTAATGGAAAAAGGAGGAGTAGGTTTAAAGGGATACAGTATTCCAAAACCATATGTCACTTCTTTGTTTTTGGTGGAATTGATATTTTGACTGTTTGATCTGGGTGCACTTGGTACCTGACAATAAGATAAAGGGAAGTAGGCTTCTTCTTTCTGTCTGAACATTCTGGAATACTTGAGTGTGGGATCAGTTGTCCTCTAATAAAGAAAGCAACAGGCTTCTTCTGGGAAACAAAAGATATCTTGATTCTGCCAGGTTCATCTCAGTAACAGAGAAATGGGACATAGTGAGGATTCGTTTTCACCAGTCTGTCAGCTCCTGCCTTAGAAAATCGGTAAACCTCTGCCATTTTTAACTGCTCTTTTTTAATTGTTTACTGTAATCCTTGAGGAAGCAAATGAAAATAGGTCCTATACAGTGTAGTGCTTAGAGTACCTTAAAGTAATTTTCCCAGGAAATATCTGATATGCTTTCTCAATCGTTGATGATGGGTAAAACAACAAAAAAACAAATGAATAATCTTTTTTATAAATTAATGCAGTTTAATCCCCTGTTTATAACTGTGCCATTGTACATACTGTGTTGAGAAAAAACAACAATTGTTTCCTTTTAAAATCTTATAAAGAAGTCTGTTTCTGAATTTGCTTGGATTGTGTGCTCTCCAGTACTATTTAATTAAGGTCAAGTAGCATTCTGCTATTGTTTTATTACTCCGAGGAGAGGACCTGCAGTCAAAAAGTTCCTTTATTATTGCTCATTTTCTTCACAGCTAGAGTTTTCCGCTTGATAACTGAATTTCAGTAATTGCTCTCATCGATATAAAAGTCCGTAGAAACTAGCTGACATGAAATTAGATTTTTCTGATAAGACTTTTCTTTCTCAGCAGAAGTCATTTATGGGTTGTAATTTTCTAGAAAGGAAAGGAAAAGTGGCAAAAAATTTCCTTTATAAAATATTACATATTTTATACAGTAATTTAATACGTTTGAAGACTGCTCTAATTGTAAAAATAATATTTTATATAATATAATTAATATAATATTCTAAAAAACATTAAACAGTTCTTCTTAGCCTTCATACTGTAGCTCAGCTGTTTGTGCATCTGGTGAGTAACCACAGGAGCTGGGTAGAGCCCAAGTTACTTTAGAGACATTAATTCTTGCCATGCAAGGGAGAATGTGATGTATTTTAGGTGAAAAATTATTTTAAACTCTCATTTCAGTAGCATCTTGCTCCAGTGTATTACTGTAAATGTACCAGTAACAGGAATGTATTCCTTTTTTTACTTTACATTTTAAATTCTAATACATTAACTGCATGGCAGTGAGATAAAACAGTGTGCTTGTCTTAAAAACAGGAAGGTTCTAAGAATTTTTGCAAGCAAGGAATTGCTCATTTCTATTCAGTACAATCTGCATAAGCTTATTGAGCTGGTGTTTTAAAGTTACATTTTTTTTTTCATTTTAGACTCTTCAAAAGCTGGCAGTATTGCAGAAAACTGCCCTGACAGCAGCTCAAGCAGGCAGCCCTATAGATAGCTTCTGGGACATATGGATGCTTTTGGGCACTAAAAAGCATGACGGACTGGGAGTGAGTTAGCCTACCCTCTGAATAGCAGCTGTGTCAGGAGGACTTAAATTTATAATCACCCCTGCCTTTTTCTGAAAACAATGTAGAAGTGTTTGTGCGTGTTTGCGTCTACATGTGTGTGTGTGTTTTATAGAGTGGACTTTCCAGATGCTCACATTAGCTCCATGTTGGTGGCTGATCCTAAAGGGAGTGGAGAAAAACTGAGGCTGGACCTACCTGATCCCATCTGCACTGGGCAGATG